AGAATTCTGCAATATAAAGTAGAAACCAGGAATGGAGCTTACTTGACCATTGAGAATGGAGGCTAGTTTGAACTTTTGCTTCAGCAATTGCAATCTGTGACTTTTTTTGGTGACGGTGTCACGTAGATCAGATATTGTTATCCATGCATTCCATAGATTTTTCTGATGAAGGCATGAAAAAGTTTTAACTATTTATATCTGTGGAAAAGAATGTAACAAAATAAGTGTTGAAAGATAACATTCAATAAAAATAAGTGTACCAAGGGATTGATCTTGTAAGGGTCACTGCCAAGGTTTTTCATCGCATCCCGTATAGAAGCGAGATCAACCACAGCTGGAACTCCAGTAAAATCCTATTACAGAAAAGTAAAAGCTTTACAGGAAGATAATAGGAATTTCTATGACTATCAGTTTAACACCAAGCTACTCTCTCGCCTGTAACAAAACACGGGGCTGGCTTAAAGGGAATTTGAACTTGCTTGGGCACAGTATTTTTCCAATGGATGATATTTCGAACATCTTCCTTGGTAACTTGGAAGTTGTCGCAATTTCATATAGCGGTAGCGGATTCTAGAAGTATCCTAATTGAATATGGAAGTTTGTTTGCAAGAATGGGTATCACAGATAAGGAATGGAAGATTCATTCTGGAGTAGAATTAATATATAAACATAAACATCAAGACTCTATGATAAAAATTATCTAGAAATATGAATGGCCTGAAATGTCTCAAACAACGCCAAAACCACATGATATCAATTAGAAGAGGAGATGAAATAGACAGACTGAAAACTTGGACATAATAAACTCCTCTGAGAAATGTCAACATAAAGTGTAATTGGTCTACATTTATATATGCACAAACAAAAAAAGGACAGTAGTATTCGAGTGGTGCAAACATTAGTCACATACCAATTCTACGATCATTCAAAGCAGGGAGGCTGTAAAACTTTGCAAACTCGCCTCCTCCTGGCTTGGGAAGAGTAGTAAAAATTTCTTTGGAAGGATTTTCAGAAGCTGCTTGAATTGGAAATATTCATTAAAACATAAATCACAGTAAAGTAATGAAAGATAACCGTGGTTGCATAATTATTGATTTGTATCTATTTTGGGAATTTAATGTTTTAGATACAAATACTATTGATTTGTAAGGGATGGTAAATATAAATTTCATACTTTATTAAATATATAGATAACTAAAAGCCAACAACTTGTAAACTTACTTGTTTCATATTCGAAACAATTCTGATGGAAAACATTGTGTAATCTTGAATTGTTGCACCAGTAATCATGCCTGATCAAGAAAACACGAGACCTTAAACATAGTCAAATGATCAAAATGACGACTTCATAAGCATACCCTCTATGATGAACTAATGAGTCGAGGCGGAGGATTTGTAAGGAGTGATTCTTCATAATTTCAA